AGATATATATATATATATATATATATATATATATATATGTGTGTGTGTGTGTGTGTGTGTGTGTGTGTGTGTGTGTGTGTGTGTATTTATCATCTATCTAAATATATATGTATGTAACAGCAATTAATGAGCCTATGAATTTGAAAGAGAGCAAGGAGAGGTATATAGGAGGGTTTCAAAGTAAGAAAGAGAAGAAGGTAATGAGGCAATTATATCATAATCTCAAAAAACATAAATATTTTTTTAAAATGACAGAAACATGGAAGAGAGGATTTAAGGCAGGAGGATTGCCAGTTACTTGATATTTTTCTTAAAAGCTGTGTACTTCTTTTGAGTCAGAATCCAATTGTTTCAAGTCTTCATTAATCAGCAACACCATTCATCAAATAGACACTTTGGCATAATGAGCTTTCATAAATACAGTGTTTGTGATCTTTCTTGGAATATTAGAATGAGGAATGGGGGTGGAAGGAGTGAAGTCATGCAGCACCTCATCTTCTTATTCTCAAACAGGCTCCCATATGCCACACCGAATTAGCATTCTGTCATCTTTTCTGTTTCATGTCTTTCTAGCTTTCACATATAACGAATGAACCCAGGGCACCTGCTCCGACTTCTTAATTGAAGCAGTTCAGGTCAAATCATGATTGTTAACAGAAATAAAGCAAATCATTTGTCACAGAGCTTAATTTCACCTGTGCTGCCTGGGTTCCTGCTGTTATTTGTACTTATTGCAGATGATAAAAAGCAGTTGCCAAAGCCTCCTCGCAGGAAAAAGAATCCCAGCTGGGATCCAGGCCCAAGCACCTGGGGCTGTGGATCAGCTGGCAGCAAACAGCGATTTTGCCAGCCTTGGTTGCCTCTCAGGTTGATTGAAATGAACAGATCCGTTTCCAAGCACTGTCCAGTTTCAAATGAGTGAACATTTGGGTGTCATTCTTGAGAGAATATCAATGCCTCAGAGACCTGTTCCTATTATACCACCTCCGAACAAACAGGCTTCCACAGGTTTCTAAAACTGCACTGCTTACACTTGCTACCATCAGTGTGTTAAAACACATGTACACACTGGAAACTAGAGAGTCACCACTGAGGCCCCAGGAGATTCTGTTTCTTCTTGTACAGAAGGACACAGTAATTGTGCATTTGTACTAATGACAGTTGTTTAGAATTCCATGATTTCAACACTTTCTCCATTTTTAGCCTGCTAATGGTCTACAGACTAAGGAAAGAGTGCTGGTTTTGAGATTCATCTTACAGATAGAGAAGCAGGTATGACAGGCTGGTCTGGCCAGGGGGGTCAGAAATAATATCAAAGGGGGGGTCAGAAAAAATATGAAAAGTGCTCATTGTTATCAGTCTTGTAACTACCACTATTACATAGGGCTTTGTTGGGAACACTGTGTATTATGTGTCAGGAGGGGAGTGTTCTTGCATTTCTGAAACCGTCCACAGCCATAACTCAATCCAGGCTGTTGTCTGTGAGTAGAATATATGCTCCATGTTTATGTGTATAAGGTAGAATGTTATTTGGAATAATAGAGGATAGAATCTATGCAGAGAGATTGAGGGCCAGGAGTTCCTCTACAATGACTCAGTTGTACCCATGGAAGACATTGACATTGTGGACTTCCAGACTTCTACTTTAAGCACAGGTTTCAATGACTGGCTGAGCATTTGAGTTACTTGGAGAAGTTTAGATTCCAGTAGGGGAAGGGGCAAAGGAAAATCCTCAAAGTGTCTCAGGTCAGTGGAACCAGTATTTATCCCTAGTCCACGGACTTTGGGAGCACATTCCCTATGGAGGGATATTCTCTCACCCTAGATACGTGGGGAAGCGCCTAGGCCCTACCCCAAATGATGTGACAGACTTTGATAATCCTCCATGGAAGGTCTTACTCTCCCTGGGGCATGGATGGGGCTTTGGTGAGGGGCATGGGAGGGCAGGAGGGAGAGGGAACTGGGATCGGTATGTAAAATAAGATTGTTTTTTATTTAAATAAAATAAAAAAAGAAAATAGAACAAAGGCACACACAGATTCGGTTTTAGATAAAACTGTTGTTGTTTTTCTTTTGAGACAGAAATCAAAAGAAAATTCAGCCCTGGATGGACTGGAGCTCACTATGTAGACTAAGCTGGCCTCCAACTCACAGAGATATGTCTGCCTTTGCCTCCTGAGTGCTGGGACTAAAGGTGTGCACCACCACATTAGGCTAAAATTATTTCTTAAAGTTTATTTTGTGTGTGTATTCTATGCTTTGGCATGGATATTGCAGTCAGAAGAGGACATTGGACACCCTGCTCTATTGCTCTCTACCTTATTCCTTTGAGGCAGATTTCTCCTTGAACCTGGGGCTATGACAGTAGTCAACAAATTCAATTAATCCCCTGGTTTTTGTTTTCCTCATTGGTGCTAGGGTTATAGGCTCATGTGTGTCCACTACTGGCTTTTTGCTTAGGCTCTGGGGGCTTGAACTCAGATCCTCATACTTGCTTGTACAGAAAAATGCTCTTGCTTGTTTTGGCATAAACTCAGCTCCTGAGAGCCACTGTTTTTGATCACTATTTACTGCTCAGTAGCCCTGACTTTATGGAATACCATGAATGAGCAATAGCAATAACAGTTACTACGTTTAAAGTCAGGAGTTTTACTTGCGTTGTCTTATTTAACTCTATGAGCAAGATGAGAAAGACTGAATCTCTAAGAAATAATGTAATCTTCCTAACATGTCACAGTTCATAAGTGGAAGAACCAGGATTCATTCACAAATGGTCTGACATCTGAGCTTAGGATCTTTCTTTACCAGCTCACAATGAACAAGGAGGTTGTGTCTTCTCGGAGATATTGTTGGCTTCAGGGTATGGAAAATGGAGGGGTGTTGGAACCCAGCCCCCATGAGGTCCCTAAGAGTTGTTTTCCAGCATAACCACAGGCACCTCCTGTTTTCCTGACCTCACCCCACTGGGATCAATATCCTGTTGTGAACTCTCTGACCTGGGGTTTTTGTAAGTTTGTATATAAGGCTGCTCTCACAATAAAGGTGAGAGACATTCTCTCAGAAAAGGACCAGGAGTCTTGTGGTTCATCCAAATCTCCAGGCTTTCGCCCAATACTCGGACTTAGTGGCCAAGAGCAGCCACAGAGGGGTAAGTAACTATGTCAAGAAAAAATGCAACACAGTGTGTCTATGTGTGCCTCTGTGAGTTTTAACACAGGAGTGTTTGCAATATGGGGAACAGATGGGATACTAAAGAAACCGTAGATGACTCAGCCCAAGGAAAGAAGACTATGTGGAGTAGGCAAACATGAATGGTATTGTTTGAGCTAAAACCCCAAGTGTGAAGCCAAGCTTTGTTATTGGATAACTGTATGACTTTGGGCATAATAACTGAGGACCTCGGTGGCCCTCTGTTTTCCTGTCTTAGTAATTTTCCTACTGAAAGTTTATGGGTTATAGAAAAAGTTTGTAAACAGCTTTATACAGGTAGAGCCAGCATTTTGACAATCATTATTAGATGTTAGTATATGCAATGAAAATGAAGAGGAAGCCTCTTCACAGGACTGGAAATTGTAATTAGAAATAATCCAATAAAGAAACTAACTCAAAGGAGCTTGAACCATCTAAAACAAAATTCCTCTCAGAAAGTCATCTGTGACACACTGCATTGTTGTGCTTTTTCTTATTTTTATTGTTTTTTTGACAGTTTTGCTTTGTAGTTTAGGCTGCCCTCAAACTCAACTCAGCCACCCTAGAAATAGAATTATAGGCATGTTCCACTAAGCCTGATGACACTGTATCTTCATCCTTGAAAACAAAGGTAATTCAAAACACAGTCATTCTCTTGCCATATGAAGGAAAGCTGGCCAGTTGATAAGGACTTAAAGAGTGGAGATAGTTGCTTTAAATACCAAGATGGGCATAAAATACAAAATAATTGTCTTATCTTTTATCATGTTGTTCTCAGAGGTGGCTGTGTGTTTCAGATAAATTGATGCTGGTTCCAACCAGGAAGGAGAATTAAAAGTTCTTCCTTTACATAAAATATTTGCACAGCTTACTATGGGCTCTGTGGTCCTTGGAAGTGGTGATGGAGCTGGACTCTGAATTGATAAACAATGGTGCAAATAGGTAGGAAGACATTTAGAAATTGTTCTACAAAAGCAAGAAGAAAAGCACTATTTAGCCAAAGTCTGACAAAAAGGGCACAGTAGTCCTCCAGAATTGGAACGATATAATGGTCCCAGGGAGAGTAATTAGTAACATGAAAAGGATTCTTGGGAAGATAAACAGCCTCTTGGGAACATTTTCTCCATGTCATGACCTATGAAATAGTGTTCTTTTAAGAGGAGAGGTAGAAACTGCCTTCAATTAATCAGGGAAAGTCAGGTGAAAATTGAACATGATAAAATACTTGGGCTGGGCATCTCCAATCTGATTTTTGGTGCTGTATTGATAAGACTTAGACTGAAGAAAGATTTTTGGCCTATAACTACAATAATGAGCTTACTATTATTACATGGAAAACATGGATAAATATCAGAAAGTATAATATTAAAAACACAATTATGTATACTCTATGGCTTCATTCATGAAAATTTCCATGAAAGGTAAAAACGTTCTATGTGTTAAATTCAGGTTATCAGTTATCTTTGAGTAACTGTAATTGGGAGGAGATATGAATGGAATTTCAGAGGTGCTGATCATACTGTTTTTTGATCTGAGTGGTCACTGATTATATGGGTGTGTTCAGTTTATAAATATCTAAATAGTTGTTTAATCACAACTTTTGAATTTTCTGTATATGTTATACTTCAAGAAAAATTAAGAAACTAAGATATAATCCATGAAGGAATAATAATTCATTCCAAAAGGAACAAACTCTAAATATTAACAAGAGTTTCTTTTTTACCCATAAAAACGTTTCTTTCTTGAATTGCAAATTTTTCAACTTCATTTGTTGTTCAGAATAACCATAAAAGGTCAGTTTGGGTCTTCTAGGAGGCATGTACTAATCTAGGATTAGTTTTATCTATAGAAATTCCCTTGAAGGAAAGAAATAGCTACAATGGGGAATCTTTAAGTCAAAATGCAGCTATTTTCTCTGTCTTCTCTGCTCTGGGAGCAGCTCTCCTGCCTTAGCACCCCTGCTCAGAATGTATGCCAGAGATATTGACAGATAAGAGCCCCAGTAGCTTGGTGGTCTATAGTCCTCTGACCTTACTCATCCCTGGCTGAACCTTCCAAACCAGCGGGGTCATTTCTTTATATATATTTTTATTTAAAATAGAAACAATCTTATTTTAAACATCAATCTCGGTTTTCTCTCCCTTCCATCCCCCTATACCTCCCCCCACTGACCCTCATCCCACCCCCCTTCTGCTCCCCAGGGAAGGTGAGGACTTCCAGGGGGATCATCAAAGTCTGTCACATCATTTGGGGCAGGGCCTAGGCCCTCCCCCATGTGTCTAGGCTGGGAGAGTATACCTGTATGTGGAGTGGGCCCACAAAGTCCATTTGTGTACTAGAGATAAGTATGGAACCACTACCAGAGGCCCCATAGACTGCCCAGGCCTCCTAACTGACACCCATGTTCATTTTTAAGGAACACTGACACAGCTGCCAAATTCATTGGGACTGGAGCTGTCATCATTATGATGGTTGGCTTTGTATCTGGGGTTGGGGCTGTTTTGGGAAGCCTCATTATTGGCTATGCCAGGAACCCTTCCCTGAAGAAACAGCTCTTCTCTTATGAATGTCTTAGCTTTGCCCTCTCTGAGGCCTTGGGCTCTTTTACCTAATGGTGGCCTTTCTCACTCTCTTTGCTATGTGAAACAGCTGTATTCACTTCCACCTTCCATATTTCTTTCTCCTGTGTTTTGTCTGCCCTGTATGTTCCTTTTTCTGCACTTACCCAGGAAGTGTGTAGAAAGTGGTTGGCTCAGGGTTCAACAGAGAGAACATAAATAATACTATATTAATATGAAAAATACAGGTATGACCCATTTGAAAGGATAAAAAGAAAGATAGAGGAGTGTACAGGAAGACCTCTGGATCATAGCATGATCTTAAGGAAATGTAAAGCAGGCTGATGGTGAATTCTTGGGTACATATTGTTCATTGGAGGAATAGTTTACTGAGCAAAATAGTGTATCTCTGTCATGCTCTGTCCTAGGTGTGAAAATCCAAGGGAAGAATGGCCTTGGTCCAGTGCTGTGGTGAAGTTTAAAACATGCAGATATGTGAAGTTGTCAGTCAAATATACCTCCAATAGGAGATCCTCTAGAAGAGATATGTGAGCAGTGTATGCCCATGCCAACCACAGTTAGGTGTGTGGTATATTTGTGTGGTAGGAACTGGCTACAGCTTACCCCACAGAGAAATATTACATAGCACACTATAGACATCAAGGTTAATGTACTCCAGCACATATCTCTAGTGCTTGTGAAAAAGGGAAGACGGAGCAACAAAGTGCAGCAAACCCCACATAGTATGCTTGTTTCTAAATACATTATTTTTTCTAAAGATTGAGCAAGAAGAACTTCTTAAAGGTTTTTTTTAACTGTACTTAAGACATCTTTCTGGAGAAAATTCTTTGAACTACTAGAAGGAATATGACTATTCTTATATTTTAGTAGGGTCATGACACAAAAGAATGTAAATGTTGAATTTTGACTCCTCTTTCATTCTCAAGACTGATAAATTGGTGATTTGAATTAGTGAAACCTTTTCTAAATCATTTGGATTAATGTTTTATTCATTTACTCATCTTGGCCTAGGAACACAACTCAGTAAGTAGCCTGCCAAGGGGCCTTAACATATTGACAAAATTGCTGATTCTAAATTCATCTTTTATCAGCTTTTGAGCACCAATTATTCTTCCTACACATACCACCACCACAATCCCTCCATAACTGAAGGAAAACCAGAATTGTTCACTAGTACATTTCCTAATAATGGAGACTATCAATATTAATTTATGTATTTATCCCCAACCTATTGTGGGAAATTACCAATACAGAGTCAGGTAGAAATATAAGAGTATTTAATAGGGAAAAGCCTTACTTACAGAGTGACCTAGCCAGTTGGCGTGGTAGAGGTCTGTACAGCAAGAAGCAAAGAGAAACCGAAACCAAAAACGCAGTCCCACTACATCACTCTGACCACGCCCTCACAAGCCTGGTCAGGCACACCTGTAGCCAGCCCCTAAGTAGGCATGGCTACAGCTTCCCCTACA